GTTGTCGTCAGTCTGTGCGATCTTCTTGCAGCAGCTAACTAGGTGTTGTTGTTGTTGTTGTTGTTACATCTGATGTGCCACAGGTTGCTTATCCCTGGTTTAAACATTGTAGTCTCAGAAGTAACTAGAGCAAATTATTTATTTATAGTTATTTGGCAGTTCAATTGTGTATATGCACTAAGATGGTACTTGAAATCTTTATGAAAAATCTGTCACTTCTCCCCTACTCAATCTATCATTCAGTGTGAAATAACCCCTTTATCTTATTTATTCAAGAAAAATCATTTACTTTCATATATATGTAAAAGGGAGGTTTTATTTTCTTGTTTGCATTTACGTTATGTCTTTTTCTTTGTTTTCTATAATTCAGGGGAAAGTGGCTAAGGGCGAAGATACTAATGAGCTCCAACTTATTAAGAACTTTGAACAATGGTTGCAAAGAGAAAACAACAAGCTATCTAAAATTCTTGCCATGAATTCATCCAGCAATGAAGAAGTCAAGGCAAGATATAGCAAGCTAAAGGTTTGTTGAACCCAGCATTCCATATTAACCTCACATCAAATTTGGTACCATGTTGTTAGATGTGCTTATGAAGCCATCCTGACTGAGTCTGTAACAAAGGGATAAGAATGTACAAGGTTATTTTATACCCAGTTATGCAATTCTGAGTCTGATGTGCTTATGAAGCCATCCTGACTGAGTCTGTAACAAAGGGATAAGAATGTACAAGGTTATTTTATACCCAGTTATGCAATTCTGAGTCTGATGTGCTTATGAAGCCATCCTGACTGAGTCTGTAACAAAGGGATAAGAATGTACAAGGTTATTTTATACCCAGTTATGCAATTCTGAGTCTGATGTGCTTATGAAGCCATCCTGACTGAGTCTGTAACAAAGGGATAAGAATGTACAAGGTTATTTTATACCCAGTTATGCAATTCTGAGTCTGATGTGCTTATGAAGCCATCCTGACTGAGTCTGTAACAAAGGGATAAGAATGTACAAGGTTATTTTATACCCAGTTATGCAATTCTGAGTCTGATGTGCTTATGAAGCCATCCTGACTGAGTCTGTAACAAAGGGATAAGAATGTACAAGGTTATTTTATACCCAGTTATGCAATTCTTTCATCTAATTCAGTTTTGACTACTAAACTGGTTAGCAGTACATTTCCAGAGTTCTATGCAGGAGTCTTTCCTATCTCTCCTTAAAAATGCCATAACTGAACTGGGATCTTCTGCAAGCAAATGTTAAATTGTTTTCAATAGCATCATTAAAAAACTCTGATTAGTGAAACTTCCACAAACAGAAGAAAACAAGGAGGGCACGGTGTGGAGAGAGATCTTGAAGCCATCTCTCTTGAGTTGTTACCGAGCTTCAATGTCCAGTCATGCAGGTGGGCTTGCTTGCAGTTATACTCTAGCAACAATCAGAGACACAAGTTCCCCAACTCTGATTTAGGACTTTAAAGGTGAAAAAGCTTTGTTAAATGGTGTGCAAATTTCCCAAAAACAAATTGGAGGCCAGTAAGGATATTCCAAGAATTGTGTGAAGTGGTCTACAAAGTGGAATCCTTGGTGGTCTGTGGGCTTGGTTGTTTGCTTGCAGACGTTTCATTACCTGACTAGGTAAGATCATCAGTGTGAATGAGTGTGGGCTTTGCTCCCTGTTTATGTACAGAAGCATGCCCTGCCAGTGTTGGTGGGTGGGTGGTTTTCTCCTAGGTACTTCCTTGATCAGGGCATTGTTTTCTGCGTGATTGTTTGTCTGGTCTTAATCCCTGCTTATCTGGGTATTGGCTGCTGGAGAGGATGTGTTCTGGTATTTTTGTTTCCTTCTTAACTTTTTTATTGTCTCTTTTGAATGGTGTGTAAATATGGTTTATCTCTGTGTGTCTATTGATGGCTGAACTGATGGTCTACAAAGTGCCTTGCTGGAGAAAAAAAAATAGTGCTATATTTTGTATTGGCTACAGTTTACAATAATTTTTCTAGTCAAGTACTTTATAATAATCCAAATAGACCTATGAATCTGTGATCAGATTTTTCTTTCCTAAAAATTGCATAGCTAAGCGACCAGCCTAAAGTGGACATGGCTCATTTTTAGATCTGATCCTCTGATTAATATGGATCCAAGGGCACCTTGCACTCTATATTTTTAAGGTAATTGAATGTCTGATAAATACTAAACATGAAGTACCAAGTCAGGGAATAACATCATATTATATTTTTTATGCTTTAACATATTTGTGGAAATGATAATCCTGTTACACATTTTTCTGCTTGAAGATATTTCTGAAACACCTCCAATATGTACTGATACTGGAAGCTACCCATAAATACAAATTCCTATACCATTTTCAAAGTTTGTAGGGCTCTATTCATTCACTCTGTCAAGCCCTCAACATTGATATCTCTTTTCCCTACAGGAGCTTCAGCTTAGGGTTCCTGAAGGTCAGTATCACTTTGAAGAGCTTCTGCATCTTCAACCAGCTGGCCGGAACTGGGATGAACTAGAGGAATTGCGCTTCCAATGGATGCTCTACAAATCCAAACTGAATAACTCTAACAACACATTGGTAGGTCTTATGATCTGTGTATACTGCCTTCTGCCCAACAGAACAACATTAAACATGAATATAAATAAGAGAAGATACATAGCTATGTTTAATAGAAATCTGGTCAATCCACTCAAAAATATTGTCCAGGATCAAATATTACAGAGAATATAGAACATTTCATCTCATAATGCTTATGCAAAATCCTTAGCAGTTTTAAGATAGTAGAACAGCAAATAGCTTCTCTATAAACAAATCTACCATGTCCTCTGCCCCAAAAAAGTTATTCTTATTTTTACTGTTTAGTGTTATGAGTACACATTACTTGACTGCCATCAAAGACAGCAGCGTACATACTTTCCAGTAAAAGGGTGGAGAATACAAATCCTTCCAGATATTGTTAATACTGTAGCACTCAGCAGTCCTAGCTGGCACAGGCAATTGTGAAGGATATTAAGAGCTATAATTTGCATTACTTGGAGGGACACAGCTTTCCATCTATGATTGAATGTGATTTGCATAACATTTCTACCTTAGTATATTAAATCTATTCCATTGGCTGCTCCTTGTAAAACTATAGAAATTATTGTATATTACCATGCCTTTTTATTTTATACAGTACAGGTCATTTGGAAAGACAGGAAAAAGAGATACAGAGTATATATTCTATGCAATGCGTGTATTGTCTACTCTAGTGTCCTTAGACCCAGCACTGCCCAGATTGTTGGAACTGTAATCTTGGGATTCTCAGCCAGTTTAGCCTTTGGCTGGTCTGGTTTAATCTTTGCTTTCTTATATATAGAAAGTAGAACTTATTTTATTAGGCAGTGTGTGTTTTGTTCTTCTCGGTACCCAAATGTTTGAATGAAACATATTTTCAAAAAAAGGATGCTTAATAAGATGATACCAGGAAAACTTAACATTTTGCATTTTTTTATGGATCTATATTTTTTAACCAGCTTGCCTCCTGCAAAGTAATATCATATCAATAGGGGTCAGTAATACCTAGGTTATTTCTGCCTTAAGCTGATGTCTTACTTAAATTGTTAGGAAACAAAATCCAGTTAGAATTTAAGTGGTACGGGTACTACAAAACTCATTAAATAGAAATTGCCTGCTCCTTTAAGCTGTCCAAATGAAGACAGTTTTTAAAACAGCATTCATCCTGTGAATTGCATTTTAAATCATACCAGGAACCTTCTTGATTAATGCTTTTAAAATTGTATCTTTTTAAACAGATGACAAGCTCTTTCAAAGAACCAACCCCATTCAGAAAGGTAAGTCTGTTTTTGTCAACAAGAAAAAGGAAGAAGGGATGTAACTGTTGAATTATTTCTTTAAACCATAAGTTAGGTGCCTATATCTTTTTGCTCATAATTACAGTTAATGCATACATTTCTTGATCAGTGTTTCCAGAGTTGAAAAAGAGAGTTGTTCCTGATAAAGTCAGAAGAATAGTTTGCCTAGAGCTATGGAAGGTGTTTGTTTGTTTGTTTGCTTGTTTAAGATTAAGTACATATAAACTGTAGTGCAAGTTTGGCTTTTCTTAGGCAATAGACCTGCATCAGGCCTTTATCTCTTTGTTCCCAAAAGTTTATGTTGTGGATAGCAGAGGAACTAAATTAGACTTTAACAGGCAGCTTGCCTGAAGAATTTTCAGATAAGCAGTTAATAACTTCTAGTTCTCAGTAGATCGGCCATGTAATCCTAATACTTTAACCTTCAAAGCCTCCACGTTGGCTTGGATTCAGCCAACTGGTCAGTGTAATATTTCAGTAACTTTATGTCCTGCTTCACCCTCTGTGTCTGCTGTGGTCATAACTGCTCCAGTTTAACATGCTTTGTGGTAGATCATATTATTTAGTAGTATTTAATCATTTGAGGAGTTTTCAGCCTGTCGGGTGTAAGTAGGGAATTGCCTTATAGACTAGTCAGTTCATAGGACTTTGCAGTCTAGATATCCCAAGATGGTGCCACAGTTGTGAAGTCGGATAGATCTGGAAGGCATCACATGGAGAAAAACTGTTCAGACCACTGCAATCTCTAACTAGTTAAGCCAGAGGCAGTCAAATTTGGGGGGCTAATGTTTATATTTGAAAGCATGCTGTGGGTCTGTCACAAGTTACCTGTTATGTGGAAAACATTACCTGTTTAGAAAAATATTGCTAAAGTACATATTAGTAGCTAGCAATGCTGAAGTAAAATGGATATTTTACGTTGGTGCCCTTTCGCATCATACTGCCTGTCTTTGCTGATTCAAACAGAGTTTTCTGTCTTTATTTTCTAGTCACTCAATTTATCATGCTTTAATACTTTCATCTCTAAAAGAACACATAGGAGCAGCAACATTGATCTTAACCATCCAGTCACAACCTCTAGTCAAATATCTCAATATCCAATTATAGGCATTACATAATGAGTTTTCCATATGGCTATTTCCCCCTCCCCCACCCCAATTGTTTTCCAGTGGCTTTTCCAATGTGTGGTCTGACAGTTCAGATGTTAGACTAGGATTGGGAGCCCAAGACTCTAGTATACCTTCAGCCAAGAAGCCTACTGGGTGACTTTGGACTGTCTCTGAGCCCAAATACCCAAAGGGTTGTTCGATGTGGGGAACAATACAAGGAAGCAATGCCACATATGGAACATAAATCTCAAAGTTGTTATGGAAAAAATACAAGAAAGAAATGCAATAGAGAGGTTATAAATCTAGTAAGGTATAAAAATGAATAGAGAGCATACATTCCTAGAATTCATTGTTTTTGTAGGATTGCTAGCAACCTTCCCAAAGGGAAGTTCAAGTCTAGGGAGATTTCTTTCACACTTGTCCCAAGAATCATAAAATGGATACATGTAAGCCAGTGGGCTTTAGATGCCTTGCCTTCAAATAACTTTTTCCATAATGACTTGCCATCTACTGAGAAATCTCTGAGTATCTGTTACAAAACCTCAATGTATCACAGAGGAACCAGGAAATGTATGCAGTTTGATCTTACTCAGCATCCATATTAAGATAGAATGAATATTTCTATTACTTTTGTTTGTTTGGGGGTGGGGGATCTTCTAGGAACATCTGAGAAATGGGGAACATGGGTTGCAAACTGTGCAGTTGGTATATATTATTATTTATTTTCAGAAGTGAGTCTTGGAATTCTGTAGGGCTTATTCCCAGGTAAGGAGGTATAGAATTTCAATCTTAATCAACTTACAAGGGACTCAAGAGGGGCTTGCTTATTTCAACATTCTAAACAAGCCTTAGATAATGTCAGGCCTTATGTCTCTAGCATGGGGGAAAAACCTGCTTTATTTAATTCTGGTTGGAAAGACTGCCAGATATTGAGACAAAAGTCTTATGAAAGGGGCACCAAATCAACAGTTCAAAGAACCTATCAAGGCCATTTTTCATTATTTATTGTAAGATTTATGTATTTTATTTGGATTTGTGGTTCTGACTGAGAGGTGATAGTCACATCCACTAACAGATAACCAGGATTTTTAAAAAATAGAAATGGCCAAATGCAATGCAGTCCTATGCATCTTTAGTCAGAAATAACTTCCACTGAGCAAATCCAGTGGCTTGTGTATATAGGCTGAAATTCTAAGAGAGGGTTTGTACAATACACTGGTATAAAATACAGTTGGGTAGTTTGTAAATCAGTGGGCTGTGCCAATTCAGCAGTTGGTTGGTGCATGGTTCAGGGGGGTCAGGGTACAGTGCTAAGCCAGGCAATTGAATTAATTGATAAATAATGGTTTAATTAATTATAGATTAGCATGTTGTACAAACATAACCTAGAGGAAAGATTTGGTGATCAGTCCTGACTGTAACAATCATGCCTGAATAAATGGGGTACAGAGAATAGGATTTCAAATTAGAAATGTACAGTAATGTAATGTTATCATAAACAAGAGATTAGAAGATTAAAATGAGAAATTGAAGATTCTGGATCCTGTAGTTTTTCTGTAAATTGACAGTGATCAATAGTTCATTCGCTCCTTGCATACTTCAGAGCATTGCGAACACAAATATAAAAATAATGAAGATAAATGTTTCTTCAAGGTTTACCCTGTTGTGGAAAATATTGCCAAAGTGTACTTAGCATCAGTAAAAAATGAAAGGGTATTTATGGGTTTCAGAAGTTTGCTTTGCTTTGCTTTGTGCAATGTACAAACTTATTAAAGTTCTTTACTGTAGCAATAATTAGGATTTATTAAATTCATGGTTGCCTAACTGGTTTTCTTTGAGATGCTACAGGATGTCATCTCACAATGTAGATTGAAAGGAATGATGTGCAATTTTATCTTATTTAGATGTTGTGTTATCACTGAAATTAGTCCAGCTGTCCAGGAGTAATATTAGTACAGCCCTTCTTTATCTAATAGGTATTCAGTTCAGGCGTCCATGTAAAAATACCCCAAGAGTGGTGAGAAATGTAGTAGGCTTTGTCATACATTCAGAACAGTTCCAAATATCTGCTGCATTCAAAGCAGAGACTTTGTCACTTAGCTGGGGTTTCTTCTCCTCTTGAAAAGTAAGAAATACGGCAATGATGGGGAATCTGTGACCATTCAAATGTGGCTGAATATAATTCCCAGCACCCCGTATCATTGGCCATGTTAGTTGGGGTTGCAGGAATTACAGTTTAGTGGAAGGTTAGCGCAGAGTACTTGTAGAACCATGACAGTACCACTAGCATGCTTTTGCTACCTAAGGGACTGTACTGATTTTATAGGAGAATCAGTTATCCATTGTAACATTTTGTTATACATCTTATTGTATTTAATCTCATTGCATTCTCAGCAATCTTTTGAGAGCAATTAGCTGAGAGGTCCCTTTTCTTGGCATTTTAGTGAACTTCATGGCAGATTTGAATGATGTTCTTTACCCACAGGAATTGTGTTCTGGTGTATCTAGAGACAGGAATTAAGGAAGGTTAATGAAGACCAGTCTTCCCCAGCCAATGTCCTCTGGATGTGTTGAATCTGCAATGTTTAGAATACACAGCCGGTATAGCCAGAAGGTGATAGCTGAAAATTCTGGGAGTTAGCATTCCCAATGCTTCTGAAGAATGCCAGGTTGCAGAGGCTGTTGTAGACAACTCTGATCTATGCAGATTAAAGACATGACTTGGTATAAAGCAGCTTTCTGTGATCCTGAAAGCCCTTGTTATATTGCATCTATCTTCCCCCCTGGTCATGGGCTGAAAGATCATGCCTGTCTTTGCATCTGGACATGCTGCTTTCACTGGCCTTCAAAAGAAGCTCTTGGCTTCAGTTACTGCAGTTTTATGCTCACTTCTATAAACTAAGAAAGTAACATTTTGATTGAGTCTCAATTTGTAATAAGCATGTGTGCTTCCTACTCCTAGATCCTGCAGAGGAATCACAGTGCTGAAGTTGTGACAGCCTAGACATTTTCATGGCAGCCGGCCAAGTCATTAAAACAAGATAACAGGCTCTGCTGATGATCTGGCAAAAACCAGGGGAGAGGGTAGGAGGCCAAGTACTGCAGGAATGCTAAATTTGTAAAGACTTTTTCTGTAGGTCTAGCCTCAGGATAGCAGAGATGTGCCAGAAAATTATATCCTGAAGGCAAAATAGAAGTAGAAAGAACATTTCTGTTTATATTCTGCCTTTCTGTGCAAGTAGGTGGAAGTATAGAGATATATAGATCTCATAATGGCCATGTTTGGGAATAAGACTGAAAATCAATCTGGAACTCACAAACTGTATTAAAAATCAGTGACAGATTAGACTCATACTACATTTAATTCTATGCAGGTTGATCATGAAAGAAGATTGTAGGCATAGAAAATCTGTTCTTGTGGATTTTACCACCCTGCATACTTGTTTGAATAAAAAGAAGGGATATAAATTGAATTAACATTTCCATTATTTATGTCTGTCTGTTCTGGCTTAACTCAGGGCTTTCCCCACAATGTGAAAAGTCCCAGTCTCTAATCATCTTGAAACTTCAGTAAGAAGTGCTGTTTACCTTGCTAAGATCCAGGATAATTTGAAATGGGGAGACACTAATACAGAAATATCTTGAAAAACAGCTCACCCCCTTTGGTGACTACTTCCTCCTTGATTGGGGGCCATTCCCTTTTACATCTTTCTTTTGTGCTCATAATACTGTCCAGAGGAAATACAACCTACTCTTCCATAGGCAATTATGTTTATTAATTGATTATTAAATATATACCTTACCTTTCAGTTTATCTGAGGACTCAAAGGAACTTACAACAATAAATCAAAATACAAAATATATAACAAA